TAATTTGGAAATGATATATTCAAAGCATGTGGTGGTATTTGAGATTGTAGTGGCCTATGTAAGTATGGTTGACAGGTTGGTACGAACTGTGGTGTACCTGGCCAAATCGGATGCATGGGTCTATGATGAAGAGAATGACTTGGCATTCTTGTCATGTATGTAGGACCATGAGATATAGGATTCTGCATTGCGAATGGATTGAAGTGACATGGTTGATATTCTGGCCTAAAGGATTGTTGCTGTAGAGATGATTCTAAGGTTTTGAGTCTTTGCTGAATTGATTGAAGTTCCATATCATGCATCTGTCTGTATAATTGACGGGTGTTCTCTATGTGAGTTATTCTATCTTTAATAATATTGTTCTCTAAAATTGAGATATGTGTTTCAAAGTTAGATGCGTGCCCATTTGCACATGATGGTGGACCATTGTCTTGTATATTTGATGGTTTTTGTCCGGTCATTGAGTTGCTTACATCTGGTGGTTGTGTTCCTACAATCTTCATTCGTAAAATACGATTAGAATTTTCAAGCTCTTTAACTTTTGCCTCTAGGTTCAGAGAATATGATTTGAGATGTGATTGATCTTTTATAGCGTCATTAATTATAACCTTCTCCTTTTTTAGCTCCTCTTCAATTTTTTGAAGCTTATTTTCTTTTTGTCGAATTCATTATCTGATTGAGAGATATCTGTTTTATTTCTTATGTTAGAGATAGGAGGTGTTGGAGTTGTATTTACTACTATTGAAGATGGTTGTTCAATTGGTTGAGCTTTATCATCTAGTTGATGTCTGATAGATGACTCTTCATTAAGAATTGCCATGGCGCCAGACACACCACAAGCCTCCATTGAAAATACCTCAGGGACAAAAACTGGCATGCATCTCTTATTTGGTTGGATTTGATCAGTGGTTTGGTTATTTCAATTTTTCCAATTCTTTGGGAGATGTTGTTGCAGGTTAGTAATCTCTGATGAGGTAGAGTCAGCCTCACTACATATAGTACAGATGTACTGGATGTTGTTTTTGTCATTTTCGAGTTTTTCTATTTCTTCTTTTTTAAGCTTCTCACAAGCATAGTGGATCCAATGGTTTCCTTTGATACAAAATACTCCCCTTGATAAAAGTTTTCTTTTGCATTTTGGACAATTATCATCAAGCAATTGTTTGTTTGTGTTGACTGTATTCTGGTTTGATTTTTTTGCCAAGGATAAGTCAGTTGATTGGTTTTCGCTTTGAGTTCCAGCAATGGAGGGTTTGATTATCTCCTTTAAGAATGTTGTCTGGTGCTTGGCACATTCTTCTCTTATTTGTTGGTTGATAAAAGAATAGTCTTTGATATTATCCATTTGTTTGCATATATCTTGGAGTTCGTCAAAGAATACTCTATGATTACGACCATTGACCTCTGCTCTGCACGTTGTGTTGTACAAGTTTATTCTATATTGTTGACGTTAGTTTTGACAACATTTGACTGATATAGATTGTTCTACCACATTTCCTGTCTGGTCTTGTTTTTCATGAATTTTACATGTAATCTTGGTATGGGTGTTAAAATGCTGGATTAAGACTTTGCTGAAGTGTAGATAGAATGCAGCGCTAAATTCCAAAATTATATTGCCATGTTTGTATTGTAAATTTACATCTGTTGATCGGCTGGTTGCATCTGAAATTTTTTCAACAGCTTTTTGCTCATTCAATAAGTAGTTTTTGACTGACACGTTGACTTTTGACGGTGTTAATACTTGTGTCGGTATTCTGTCTCTTGTTGGCCTTAAGGTTGCCATGATGGAAGATTTTACCGAAGTGTTGTCGTCCTATGTGAACAATGAGATTAAATTTGAATTGGTATAGCGTGGGAACATCCACGCTGACCACTAGAAAAGAATGTAGTCCAGTCAGTTATAGAGAAGAGTATATTGGTTGTATTGGTTTAGCGTGGGAATATCCACACTTACCACGTAAGAATATGTAATATAGCTGAGCGAAACGTTTGATGAAGGCTATGTTAAGATTCTGGATTTGAGAAGCTACTAGGTCTGTTGTGTCTGTGAAGAGATAGTAATTTCAGTAATTTCATTCCTGGAATTATGCAAATTAGTGTACAAGATGCTATAGATTATTCCTTATATAAATATTGATAGTTATGATTAGTAATTCCTTAGATTAAAGCCAAAGTTGGTACAACGTGGTAACATCCACACTTACCTAGTAATATAAGCGTTATAGTGTCTAATAGTTATATTTTATATATTGATTAGTTTCTTATTCCAGCTTTTCTAGAAGCTATTACTTTCCTGTATGATAGAAGTGTGATTTCTATTGTATGTTGAGATTATATAGTTAGACTGTACTGAGTTACTATGGAGATTTTCCTGTTATGATAATTGATCCAAACACGGAGCCACAGAAGTATTCTATTGTTTCAAGCCAAATGCTATGTATAGCGTGGAGACATCCACACTTACCTATGAGGGTGATTGTCAGAACCTGTACTAGATGCTTAAGAGATATATTCCAGATGTGATTATTGATTTGTATCCTGTTCCAGCTTTTTAAGAAGCTACTATCTATATAAAATTGCCTAAATATATATTACTTAGATTATCCTTGTCCTTATAGTAGATTTAAGCCAAATGTATGGTATAGCGTGGTGACATCCACACTTACCTAGGAGGTTAATTCAATGTTGGAAACTGTACTAAATGCTATAAAAAGATATTTCTGATATGATCTTTGGTCCACACCGGGATTTGAAGTTTAGTATATAGCTAACATCCTTGGCAAATTGCCAGTGTACGTAATAAAGGTGTTAAGTTGATAATAAAAGTATAAATCACACGAAACTGCAAATTCGAAAAGCGTGGGAACATCCACTTACCACAGCCTTTTAACAAGGAAGTTAGGTTAAAACGGTATATGAGACAAGACGATAAATAAATATTGCAATTTCCTGGATTGAAAGATTAGTATTTCGCTAAACTCCTTGGCTTATTTCCAGTGTATGTGATAAGAGAATTAGGTTGATAATAAAAGTAAAAATCGCATAAAATTGGAATAGCGTGGGAACATCCACACTTACCACGGCCTTTTAACGAGGTAGTTAGGTTAAAGCGGTATATGAGACAAGACGATAAGTAAATATTGCAATTTCGGGAATTCCTGGATTGACAGATTAGTATATCCCTAAAGTCCTTGGCAGATTTCTAGTGTACGTGATAAAAGAATTAGGTTGATAATAAAAGTATAAATCACATAAGATTGGAATAGCGTGGGAACATCCACATTTACCACGGCCTTTTAACGAGGTAGTTAGGTTAAAGCGGTATATGAGACAAGACGATAAGTAAATATTGCAATTTCCTGGATTAACAGATTAGTATATCACTAAAATCCTTGGCAGGTTTCTAGTGTACGTGATAAAAGAATTAGGTTGATAATAAAAGTATAAATCACATAAGATTGGAATAGCGTGGGAACATCCACTGTGACACTTACCACGGCCTTTTAAAAAGGTAAAATATAGTAGTTAAGTTAAAACGGAAGAAAAGATGATAAAACACATGAAGTACTCAAGTTAAATTTTGTCAATTTTATTACGAATTTATATTACCATATTTACAATTTCTGTGTTCAGTAAATTAAGTGAACAGGTGAAGCAGGATCTTTGGAAATTAGTTGTATTCTTGGTATAGCATGGGGACATCCACACTTACCATCTACGTAAACCAGCAATCGTAACGGATTTGTAATGTTATTTTGTGTAACCAGACAGTGTTCAGTAGATATCTGGGATGAATCCTGTCTTGATAGAGCTCAAAATTGTAGAATAGCTTATTTGTAGAATGTTGGCCTCTGCAGGTTGTGTGTTTTTGATTTATACACAAATTAATATTAAAGTCTGGAGATGTGACACGAAGAGAGAGGTTCAGAGCATGGATTTCCTCATTCAGAATTTTGATTTGATGTAATAAGTTGTTGTCTTGCTGTACGATGTTTTCAGGATTTTGAACTTTCATAAAATCTTTGTATTTAGATATAGAATACACAGGTATATTTAAGAAAGTTACTCTACAGGAAGGATATTTATCAATAAGACTGACAATTTGTCTATACTGGTGGATGATAAAATCTACTGTATCGTTGCTCTCTGTTGATAACGAGATAGAACAGTCTCTATTTTTTGTAGTAAGGTTGCAGGTGGCTGCCCAAACAATGTCACCATAGGTGTCTATTTCAGATTTTAGATTTTCCTGCAGCCAGTTTTTACATTCTTGGGTGGATGCACCAGGTTTACACCGGAATAGTATATTTGTATGAATAATGTTATCAGGGAGCAGCTTACGCTCTAGTCTGGCTCCTTTACTATCAGCTAGTAATACTGGGGTTCTCCTTTTAATACCATGAATTAAAGGTTGTTGTCTTGAAATATATTTTTTCAATGTATTTGATGTCATAGATGATTTGAAGTTTATTAGAAAATTAGTTTAAATTTATCGTATTGTAGTGTTGAAAAATATTCAAAGAAAATGGCGCCAAATTATCAGCACGGACTTTTCAGTGATCCGCCATATTGGATTTCCAAAACGATAAATGTTTGTAAAATTAAAAAGTTTGAAGATTCACTTGAAAATCATAAAACACACAGCAGCAACACCAATATAGATGTTAATAAAAAGCAGCAGGGTTTGAATATAAAGCAGGAGGCCAGACGACTGTAGCCAACGCTCACACCACGTTGCGTGGACAAGCAAATTTCCAAGGACATAATATTCGATAAAAAAAAATTTTTTAACGCAAATAAGTCTATATATAGTTCAAATAGTTGTTTAAATCAATGTTGTGCAAAAAAATAAAACACTAGACGATTGTGAAACACTCAAAAAATTCAAATTCTGTGCTGGTAAAAATTCCCATCCACCATTCTATCCACACATATGCATAGCTTATATATTCAAACCACACAAAGAAAGATAACTCTTTATTTAATCTGTTCTAATTTTTGAACTCCAAGTTATTACGATGACAGAAAATTTAGTTACGCACTCTGGAAGCTGTCATTGCGGTGCTGTGAAGTTTGAAGTATTAGCCGAAAAAGTTCTTCATGTCTACGATTGCAAGTAAGTTGTATTTTAGCATTCCGATGATTCGGTTTTCAATTAGCGTCACTGCAGTTTTGAAACTGTCCGGTATATTAGATTAGATCTAGGCAGTGAATCTAAGTTGTTTCAAAATTGCAGAGCCTCCGGCACTTGAATAAGACACAAGACCTCGTTTTTTTGATGTAATGGAGTGACAGTACTGCTTGAAATGATTAAAAGTAGGTCATTTTATAAACGGAAACAACCAGTTACCTGGAAAAAATGTAGTTATTCCTCTTTGTACTGGCTCTCTCCCATCATGCATATACTTTAAATTATAATCATGTTTCCATATTTGCTCTTAAATCATTTTTAATTATTTACAATCAGTATATATGTTAGATTGCATGTGTTGTTTGTGTGTGGATATTGTATACACTTTGTGATTTATGTTGATTCATATGCCCTTTAATTAGGAATACATACATTCGAGTTACTTTTCTGAATACCCGATTCTTTATTAGTCTAAGAGAGCCATGCAAAAGGATACTCAAACTCAAATCCCGCCCTCTTTTTCTCGTATTTGACCTATTACCGGGGTTGTACTATCACGAGCAACACGACGGTGTCACATGTGTAGCAGGATCGGCTCTCCCTTGCGGGGCACCGGAAATCACATCCGTTAGTTTGGGAATGGGGTGCCTGGTCTTTAGTTTTCTATATTTTGCTTTTAAACTTTTGTTTGTCTTTGGTCGTTTTTGGTTTTTTTTTTGCATGATTTTCAAATAATTTTGTCGGTCTCTCATCGACTAAAGTTGGTATCTTCTGCCCCCTCCCCTCCTTTTAAAACTGGATACCCTCATGGTGATTGTGGCAAAGAGACGTTTGGTTCAAATAATACCAAATAAGTTTTCGCCGACAGACGACGAACGACCCCAAGAAATGGCAATTGCTTTGGACTAATTAATACGAGCTCACAATTCGCAATTCAAAGTTATATTATTTTTTTTATATGAAACATGTGAAAATAACACTTTATAATATTTATGCGTTCGAAGCGCTTTTCTGGATTTACATTCACCAGGAACGTTCATGCATAGCCAAATATTTGAAAGCCAATGATGTATACAACCGAAACACGTGAAGCATAAAGCTATCAAATTATCTCTTATATGAGCCTAGTCAATTTAGCTCTAAAATCGCTCAACCTGCAACTAATTGCAACACAAGTTTTTTTAGTGCAAATTATAATATAGACTAGTACTAACAACATACTAAAAACTATACATTGATATAAATTGCGGAAAAGGTTATTTTGGGGTGAAATATGTGGTTTTTAGAGAAAAAATGCTGAAAACTGGAAAAGAAGAACAATTGTTATTTATGGTTACATTTTTAGACCTAAAGCTTGTTGTAGACAGGAAACCTTATCTTAATAGAGTATTATGTAGTCCTCTAGTTATCATTATTATTCATATTGAAGTAATTTTGAGGTGAAATTATTGATTTTTAGTGAAAAAAACGCTGAAAACTGGAAACGTTGAAAATCTCCGTTGTTAATGGTTAATATTTTTGAAATTTGATCTTTATAGTAAAAAGAACATACTATTTTATGTTTTATTTGTGAAGTCCTTTAGTTATCAATATTAATATTTGGGTAATTTTGGTTGAATATATGTTTTAAGACCGAAAACCCGGAAAACTGGAAATGAAAATATCTCGGTTATTGATGGTGAAAACTTTCAAATTGCGATCTTAACAGAAAATAGAGAATACTATCTGATGTTTATCTTAAGAAGTCCTTTAGTTATTAGTATTTAAAAAATGTAATTCTTGTGTAAAATGTGATTTGTAGAGAAAAATTGTGAAAAATGGAAATAAAAAACTCGATTATTCATGGTTAAAACTTTTAACATAGGATCTTTATAGACAGACTATATTATCTTATTTTTATCGCATATGTGTTCCTCTTGTTATCGGTATCAATAATAATCAATTTGTTGTGCGAAATATTTTGTTTTACATACTAACTACAAAACAAGAATATATCCATAGTACACGAATGCCCCACCCGCACTATCATTTTCTATGTTCAGTGGACTGTGAAATTGGGTCTAAACTCTAATTTGGCATTAAAATTAGAAAGATCCTATCATAGGGAACATTAGTTTTAAGTTTCAATATGATTTGACTTCAACTTCATCAAAAATTACCTTGACCAAAAACTTTAACAAAAAACTTCAATCTGAAGCAGGACAGGCAGACGGACGAACGAACAGACGCACAGACAGAAAAACATAATGCTCCTAAGTGAGGGGCATATAAAATGAACATTTTAAAATCTTGGTTATTTCTAGTTTGATTTTTAAAAACGAAAAAATGGAGAATGGAAACAGGGAATGAGTCAAAGAGAAAACAAGGCCCCTAATGGGTCTTTAACATAGCAAGTAAATCCGGCACACGGAGGTGGGCTTCAGCTGACCCCTTAATTATTTTGTACACTAGTTCAGCAAAATGGACACCACCCTAAACTCCAGTACAAAAAAATGAACCAAAATTATCACACAAAAAAACACACACAAGACAAACAAAGGCTAGAGGTTCCTTACTTGGGATAGGTGCAATAATGTGGCTGGGGTAAAACATGTTTTGTGAGAACTCAACCCTCCCCTAGTTTCTCTAGACAATATAGAATAAACAAACACACAGTAAAACTCAGTTTTAAATATGCATTTTGTGGAAGTTTGAAATTTTATCTTATGTTTCTGTTATGTATTTATAGTAATTATACGTGTAGGTATAATAAACAAAAAATGATTGTGTTCAAAAATAACTGTAAATCAGTTGGGTTACTGACTTTGATTTTGTCATGTTAATTGCTGGAAAAGTCATTTTTCTAGTGTCCTTGCATCGTCATTGACTGTAGTCCTTCTTGTGTATTTTTTCATTAGCTACTTTTACAATATTTGAATTGCATAAAGTCACAGTTAAACACAGACGATGTGCTTGCATATTTCTCTTAATGTGTTGCTAATTTTATTTAGAAAGCTCGATCAATATCCACGTTTAATTTCAGATATATAAGCTTTTTAAATTTAGGAACATATACTAGTTCACTGAATTAGCATTAAAAGAGGGTCAAAATATACCAGAGGGACAGTCAAACTCACAGATCGAAAATTAAAGGCAATTTCAAGAGCAGCTTTGTCAATACTATTATAAGTTTACCCCAAGAGCTTTAATTTAAATAGTAATTGTACTAAAATGGTCCAATTTTGGATGTTGAAAATGAGATAAGCACTGTTAAATGAATTAATGGGATCACTTCCTGAAGGAAGTGTTAATAGCAACAGCGCCTTATGTGTGTACCCTATAAACCTGCATGTATGTGGTGGTCTGAAACATCAACCAAATGGTAATGACAAAGAACTAACATGGGTTGTCTGCTATATGAAAATATTATGGTCAAAGATATATATATACTTACTAGTATATAAAGAAAAGCATTACCACGTTATTTATTTAATATATCTTATTGAATTAATTTAATAAAAGGTATCAGCTTTAGCCTAAGAACTGTAAAAAAATGATCATGCATCATCTGTGTAAAAATTAAAATTTGTAGTGTCTGTGGGCGACTTTGATGGCCATGGATAGCGTTTAGATAGTCATGTCTAATCTGAAAGTATGTCAGTTGGTTTTTGTTAGTCGTTTGGGTTGCTTTCTCGTTGACTTCAAATCTCTCTGTATTCATAAATATACTCTATTACAGATATATTAATGTTAAAGACGCTGTTTTCTGCTTCCGGAATGCTGACATGTATTCACCTCATTTGAACAAAACTATAAAAATATTTAAAAGAAATACACCTCATGCCAAAAGAATATAAATGTTTAGCTTTTAAGGTCCACTAAACTCTATCAGTGATCTCTTGGTAGTAAGTTTGATCGCTTGCCAATGAAACCATCACTTATTATAAAATCTCCCCACTTTAAAAACATAAGAAGATGTTGTATGATTGCCAATGAGAAAACTTTCCACAAGAGATATCAATGATGTTAGTGTGGATGTAAACAACTATAGTTCATCGTCAAAATATAAAACAAGTCAAACGAGAAACTCAAAGGCCTGATTAATGTTAAACAATAAACGGAAAAACAAATATGACAGACAGTAAACAATAACAACCAAGTAATAAAGGGCCACTGACGTGTGATAATCATATTCATAGTGTGCAGGGTTAACCCTGTTTGCAAGCACTCAACCCTCCAATAATCAGGAACAGTTTTTATTGAGGGGCCGGCTGAGGACCACCTCCTGGTGCGGGATTTTCTCGTTGCGTTGAAGACCCATTGGTGGCTTTCGACTGTTAACTGCTCTTGATCTGGTCGGGTTGTTGTCTCTTTGACACATTCCCCATTTCCATTCTCAATTTTATTATACTAAACTTTGCTTAAATTATAAGTACAGCATCTTTTTGTGTGTACTCGGAGGTTCTAGTGTTATGATGTCATTTCCAAACAAATCAATATTTTTTTGTTATGCAAGGTTAAAAAAAAACTTTCATTCTCAATTTTATTTAAATAGCAAACAACGTAAGAACAAATTATAAAACCCAGTTGGAAAGGGCTCAACTCAAAAAGATCAGCACGGAGTATATAACCAATTAACAAAAAGACACTGAGTTCTCATAGCTAGTTCAAAGCTAAGTAATTACAGTTGATGAATAAATAAGGTTGGCACCGACTAAAATATAGATAAGTACACATCCTATTAGTAACCAAAGTGAAAAGTGGATTCAGTGTTACAGTCGAAGCTTTATTTATATGGTGCGTGAGTACTGAGATCTTCGCAAATTACATGAGTAGCTATTTGCTTCAAGGAGCCTGAAATTTTCATTTGTGAAAAAATATTTAACATAAAATCATTTAACACTCATCATTCTTATTTTTTTATGAAACATTGTTGGATTCTAAATCTTAACATGTTTGTTCCAGGAGATAAATGAAAAAAATATATTTATTTTCTTTCTAAAGTTGTGGAGAAAAAATACATTAATGACTTTGAATCTTGCAACAACATTTTTTTTATAAAGAACAAAACATGTGTTTCTGGAACCCCTCCCCCAACAAAAAAATAAACTGTCTGTGCCTTTAACACAGGGGCAGAATTCTTTCAAATACCAAGTAAGAATGTGACTAAGTTGGGTACTCTAGTTCAGTACAGTCCAGTACAGTTTTCCATTTATAGGTTACTTACCAACACTATTTTGGAGAATTAGATTAGTGATTGTAAAATAGCAGAACACAATCTCGGTCTATATCTTTATATTCAAATATACAAATTTTGAGACAGGAAAGTGATTCATTTGTAATATTATTCTTTTAAATTGAAATAATTATGTATTGTATTGTATTATTTCAACTGTTGTAAAAAATACAGAACATTTTTTGTATAATCTTATTTTTTTCAACTTTGGCAAATAAGGGGAAGCAACTCATTACTTTTACTACAAAACATTTTTAAAATTACACCACTTTCCGCAATATATATTTTTGTATAGTTTTAGTATGTTGTTCAGAGATAGTAACAGACTTGTTTTTCAGTGAAAAACTTTGTGTTGCAATTAGTTGCAGGTTATTCACTAAATTGACTAGCCTATATATCATCAATGTAATAAATTACTTTGCTCTTCATGGGCCCTTTAATTGGAATAACATATCTTATCTTATCTTATCTAGATCTTATCTTATCATCTTAGACTTAAATCCCATCGACAATATTTAGAAAATCAACATCGTACTACATATCACACCAAAGCTTAATAATTTCTATAAATTGTCTTTTACGATTATAATTGATTGATTGTTGGTTTCTTAACGTCCAGTGTCAAATATTTCATGCATGTTCAGGACGATTTACGACTGTGTAACACTTTGTTGTGCTTATTATTTCAGTTGCAGTATTTGTAAGAAGAAACAGAATAAACATTTTGTTGTACCGAAATCAAGATTTAAGCTGTTACAGGTATTATGATAAGGGACAGTTAGTAATAGTTGACCTTTAGATATACTGGTACGATAATACTCCCAAGAAAATTGGTTATTGTTATGTGGTATACGTTTATTGATAGAAAAGGCCGAAATTCTCTGATCGTAAGGACAATATTAGGCCACTGAAAACGTCTTAAGAGATATAGGAGGTGGTGATGGTTGGGGTTGGGGTTTTTTGAGGGGGGCGAGGAATTTTGCGCCTGCCTTTTTAAACATCATGTAAAAATTGACAAAGCATTTTAGGCTAGACTCCCTTCCGCTTTTTTCTTTGTGTTTCTGAGAGAACTTCTATAGAATCGACTAATTAAAAACGTTCTCTGTCAAAATTGATAAAGTAATAAAGATAAGAAGTAACAATTGTCCTTATGTATGTTTAACAGACGTATTTAATTACCCTTAAACCACAACACTTATGATAGAACACAAACATAAAAACACGATACCATTATGGGATCAGCTTGCCAAATGTATCCTTTGCCAACAGACTGAAACAACCACGAATAAAGGATCCGATGTCATATTTCTGATTAGGTACAATCACTAATAATTTTTCATAGTCACCATATAAAAATAAGAAGAAATGGCGTGATTGCAAATGAGAGACCAAATGACGTTAAAAATATCAACTACAAGCCTAGGTCACCGAACGGCCTTCAATGAGCAAAACCCAAAACTTTAGCAAGCTATAGAAGGCCCCGACATGATAAATATTAAATAGGTCAAACAAGAAAAGAAAAAGCCTGATATATGCACAAAACAATAAACGAAAAATCAAATATGATATACCGCAACAAACGACAATCTCTGAATTACAAGCTCCTGACATGAATAATGGGTGTCATTTATTTCTGATTTGATACAGCCGCTGATAAGTTTTTGAGTCATCATTGTGTGTTGAAGAACTGAATTCTAAACCCCTCCCTATCCTGGGACAGTGATGTATGAGCATAACACAATTATATGAAAAAGGCTTGACTTACCAGATCGACTCAAAGCAAAAAAACAAAAAACAAAAAAACAACTAACATAAAACCTTAAGACACAAAATAACGACATGAGAGTATTCGCAGTTACTGAAAAGTAGTTGAAGGCCAATAACAACTATTAAAAAATATGTATCCAAGATTTAAAATATCAATCAGTACGCATACAATGGATTTAGTGTTAAGACGTCATAAAGAATCAGAGAAATAAATGATCTTGTGCAATGCCAATTTACAAGTATCAACTTTATAATGTTGCTGTCACCGTCGTTATTTTTTGAATAATTTTTTTAGTAGTTTTTAGTTTTTGTGTAATTTAAGAATTTTTAAATATCTTTTTTAATATTCATCCTTTTACTGTGTCTGATAAACTTTTATAATGAAATGGTAGTTTTCAATTGACCAACCTAGGGTGTCCCTGCTACGCTTCTTACATTATACAGGTGAATAAACGAGCCATCCGAGGAGCTCCGAGTGTGGTATTATAAACCTTCAACATTTTTATTAAAATACATTAGTTGCTAGTTTACGGATACAATATTCTATACAGAAATAAGAAGATGTGGTGTGAGTGCCAATGAGACAACTCTCCATCCAAGTCACAATGTGTAAAAAGTAAACATTTATAGGTCAACGTACGGCCTTCTACACGGAGCCTTGGCTCACATCGAACAGCAAGCTATAAAGGGCCCCAAAATGACTAGTGTAAAATAATTCAAACAGGAAAACAAACGGTCTAATATATATAAAAAAACTAGAAACGAGAAACACTTAAGAACCACATCAACAAACGACAACCACTGAACAACAGGTTTCTGACGTAGGACAGGTGCAAACAAATGCAGCGGGTTTAAACGTTTTAAGTTCACCAGTAAAAAGTCACAGTCTACAGCTGCATATGTTCATTTCATATCCACGAAAACAATTCAAAGCCATTCTCATCATGCTTCATATTAAGAAACATCCAGTTGTTTGTTTTTTTTGTATTGTTAAAACGTAAACATCTCAAAATAGAAATTCGTCAAGTATATTCCCTTATTATTAAAACTAATCTTCAGCTCATTGATTTGTATGCCATTTGCTTACCATTTCAAAATATGAGCGTATGGTAGTTTGGAAAATTTTACTTCATTATTTCAAGTTAAACGCACCAAATTTTCGAGGTCTTAATACAATTAATTGTGATTCTGTTTATTTAGATATAAACCATTATTATCTCAATAAATACTGCACTATTTGATTTCTTCCAGGGTGCTGACAATATAACAACATACACCTTCAATTCACACAAAGCTCAGCATACATTCTGTAAGACATGTGGTGTCCAAAGTTTTTATACACCAAGATCTAATCCAGATGGTTATGGTAGGTTTAAATTTAATGTTTTATCCTTTTTATCAAAGCTTTGAAAATATATGTTACTGGACTAAATGTTAACATGGCATTCCGAAAACAAAATGTTTTATGCAACAGATAATGCACAGCGTGTCATTTTCGAAAACGAGGCGGAAGATACCAAGGTCATTAGTCGAATATCTTACTCCACATGTGACACCCGTCGTGTTACTTCAAAAATATGTTTCGGGTTTATGAAAGTTTCGGTTTTTACAGGTTTTACAGTTATAATTACCACTTACTGTTACTTTCGGAATTTATGATTGCATTGACCATTTATTTTATACAGGTATAGCACCACACTGTATTGACTCTAACACTATAGAAAGAATAGAGGAAGAAAGATTTGATGGACAGAACTGGGAACAACACATTGAGAAGTCTGACATTAGACAGAGATCTAAGGAATAACTTTAATTGTCCATATAGTCATATTGTAACTACTCTATTTGTCGGAAGCTGTATATAACTTGCGTCAGATTGGTGATCATGATATGTAAAACCAGTTGAAACAATATAAAATGCCAAAGTCATACAATGTAAATGAATATTTCATAAATAGATATTAATAAGAAGATTGATTGATTGACTGGTGTTTAACGCCACTTTCAACAATGTTGTGCTATTTCGTGGCGGTCAGTTTTTATTGGCGGAGGAAGCCGGAGTGCCCGGAGAGAACCACCGACCTCCTGTAGGAAAATTAATAAGAAGAAGATTTCAAGCTTATTGCATAACAGGACCGTAAATAGCAGAGTTCATTGAACGATATAAAAAACGATTCAAATCCAAAGCAACTGACAGGTGTGCGGATACGACTAGAAAATATTTCAGGAGTACAATTTCAAACATAAAAAACACCTTTAATTACCATATGAAATTATACAAGTACAGTTAAAATTGTCAAAATAGTTATATCAATTCACTGCTGACCACTGACTTCATACTGTAAATCTACTATCTCATTTTAAGAGATGGTTTTACAAATATAATATTTTGATCCTGATGAAATCATTAGTACCAATGAATATTTTTTTTTTAATTTTTGAAGAGTTGAAAAGATTTAGTGTCTATAAATATAATGGTGGATAAACATTTATCATGATATTTGTGTCAGGTTATTCAGTTCATTAGGAGTATAAGATAACACAGCATATATGTATATGTTGGATACAAAATATAGTTTGATTTTTTAAATGATTAATAAATTGATTGTTGTTTGCTAACGTCCATTGGCAAATATTCCAGAAATATTCAGGACATACATTTACCTGTAAAGAATTAATTGACAGGTAATATTTATGATGATAGCAACAATCCTAAATAGAGAATGTTTATAGTCGTTAAACAATATAACGTCAGAACACTGGATACTTATCGGATTGAAAAAACATGTCATGTGTCCTTTCTTCGCTTGCAAGTACATCTTTGTATCTTAATACGCTCTCGCACAACAGGAATATAAGAACCTATGCCGAGCTTATTCATAGACAGCGAGTTGACGTAGATTAGAGAACACAATTTCAGTATGAACTAAAACATGATAACGTAAATTAGATAGCAACCGAACGTTACAAATGATCATAAGCCATTTAGAGGTTACTGAGTTTTCAAATTATTTTGGTCAGGTCGTTTTATGACTAGAACAGAAAGTAAACCGCTTCTAAGAGTATGATTACTTTTCATTAAACCGTCTTAAATACCGACAGTCTTCAATTTCCTCCAGTCTTTCTTCCAAGGTAGGATTGTGAACAAATATGTCGGGTTCAATATCAAAGTCACGTGATTTGATGACCGTTGGTTTAATTTTGTAAATGGGTGGTAACTGTGGCGGCGGCAGTTTTAACGGTCTCTGTTTATTAAATTCATTTCGAAAACTGTTTGGTCGAATGTCAGTTTTCAAAGGACCTGGTGTTGGCGGTTTTTGAACTTTTCTGTCAACTAAGAATAACTTTCCAATCTCTTGATCATGCGCAACAAAAGATGCTGTGAAAGCTTTCACCTCGTTAGTCTTCTCAAAACGTCGAAGTTTTTCGTTGTTCACATATTCATTTTTAATTCTGAACTGTAGAATTCGGTTTTTGATTTTCTTCTTTAGTTTATCAGGTGAAATGTATATAGGTTTTGAATCATAAGTTAAAGGATTTTCATCATTAATTACTGGAATGTTGTCCTTTGAACTATCCTCCTTTGGTGTTATACACGGCAGACTATAACTCCTTACGATATCCATATTCTTATTTACCTTGAAAAGAAAACAAAAATGTCTATTAAGAGTTATCTCCACTTGTGCATTTAATAATTTAAACTGTTTTAATTCCATAATAACTTTTCAAAGTTTTTCCTAACTAAAATGTATGAATTATATGCCTTAAAACTTGAAATTCGACAACAACCTAACAACAGTACATATTTTGAAGACAAAATACGGTTTAAATCTAAACCTGGGCCTCTATATATCGTTTAATGTCGCATTTAGACCTCTATATTTTCTGTTGTTAGGTTGTTGTCCCTTAATCTATACTGTTCATGTGCTTTAATTCGTGTATCAAATTTAAAGTATCATAGATCGCAATGCCCTATTCACTTTCGTTGAAAGCCTTGGTGGTTCAAATGTCAAATACAAATTCAAAAGGACGAGATGTTCAAATCCCAAAGACGAGCAATATCGATATCAGTCGTATTATTTATTAATCCCTGCCACCAAACTTGTTTAAATATTCGGTATATAATGGTCTACAAATAATATTATAACACGACGACAAGTTAACGCTGAAGCTAATAACCAGTGTAACAGATATTGCACCTTACAAAAATGGTATTATAATTCCATCAACACTTGTGATAGTAGTAATTATCAATCGTTAATTGGACTATTTAAAATATACCGAATCAATCATGCATCTTTGATTCAAGACCTTATATTATCAAGTAGAAAAAATAATGTCAAAATAATGTTACTTCTGAAAGATTCTTTCTAATTTTGACAAATTGAAAACCATGAGAATGGTAATTAATCAACTAAATCAATAATAAAGAGCTGCAAAATTTGGGTGGTGATACTATCTTATTTTCAACCAATTATCTGTTGGTTAAAATTAAAGGACGTAGTAATTGATATAGTCAAAAAAAGTTTTTAACACATCTTAGATAGATTTTAGGTGAGTATCTCAAGACCCCAAACGAGCTGTTATAAGTATTTTTAGTTTATAACAGTCTATGATTACATGTGTGAACAAATTCAAATTTCTTTCAAATGATTGTAAAAATGCAAATAAAATGATGATATTGAACTCCAGTGCCGCTAATTTAAAAATGCATATCCAGGACGAAAACGTGTTCATGGGATATAAATATGAACCCTGCTTTGTACCAGACTGTGTCGACACGCTGAGCCGGATCAGTCAGCAGGAAGACCTGGTACATATTATTTTGATTCCAAGTCGACCAACCTCAGCCGTGTGTCTAGCGGAGTAGCAACAAGTAAACATTTTAAGGTGTATGGTTTGACCCGGAAGGTGGCCGAAGCCACGACCTCTCGCACTCGAGGCGAGCACACTACCACTGGACCATCATGGCGATTAAATGCAAATACGAACATTCTGAGTAATTAAGAGCTTAGTGTGGCGTTCATTTCGCTGAACTAGTATACATTATTGTTTAGGAGCCAGCGGAAGCCGTCTTCCGGGTACAGGATTTCCTTGCTGCCCATTGGTGGCCTTTGGCTGTTTTATGCTCTTTAGTCGGGTTGTTGTCTCTTTGACACATTATCTGTTTCCTTTCTCAATTCTATTTTATACAGTTTTGGCTGTTCCTTTTACGCCCTTTGAATTGTACGCCCTTTCATTTGTATGACTTTAAATGTTATTCTTTGTATTTCAAACTTTTGGTCATAAGCGCTCATCTGATGAAGTTTACTCAAGAAACAAAATAATTTTGTCGGCTCGGAAATAATAGATAATTTAATCTTAGCATTTTTTTGTTTTGTTTTATCTCTGTGTGTATGTGATGTATATTTGTAGAAAGTGCTTTGAATTTTAAAGATCACCTAGAAACTGCATAGAAATAATCGATTTATCGGATTTTTCTTAAGTATTATTTTCTTACATCAAAATGTCATATCCACACTAAAAAAAAAAAAAAAAAAAAAATAGAACTAAAGAACATATTTCATAATTTAACCTCAACAAGTATTGAAAAAAAAAAATGACTAGCTATTGAAACTATGGATATATGAACCCTCTATACACGATGTTACAGGAAATGTCTTATTTTTTTTTAAATGGCTATGTGTTTTCTTTAAAGACGGCCAACATAGAAAGTATTCGGTACTTCGTAAGTCATCAGCTTCTTACATTTGGTAGTCCAAATTCGTTTTTTTTTTATTATTAATTCTGTTTTAGAAGAAAAATCGTTTAAAAGAATATTCATCCGATTTGTTTTTACTTTTAAAGAATGAATCGCGATATATATTTGGTGAAATATATATCGAGATTCATTCTTTAAAAGCAAAAACAAATCGAGTTGAATATTCTTTTAAACGTTTGTTCTTATAAAACAGAATTAATAATAAAAAAATTTATGAATTAACCCCCCCCCCCCTTTTTCCAAAAAAAAAAATTTTTTTAAATATAAAAAAAATAAAATGCACGAACCGCTGTAGGCTAGGCTAGAAATAAGAAATGATACAGATTTATCAATCGCAAATCAAAATAACATTTACCAAGAAAACATACAAAGCATATAATTATTTTTACCTGCTCTACAGTTATTTCCACAGAACTGTTTGTATACGGACGTATATAAAATGGAACTTAGCTTCTCATTTTATCGTAAAATTAATTGTCACATTTTAACGTCGCCATAATAGCAAATGAAGAATATTCTACACATTCGAACAAATATAACACTTGAGTTCCTTAGTGTTGACATGTACCAATACCATAAATTATCAAACCTTCTTAAGGTAATATAAGTAGTTGACAATTGTCAAAATATAAACGATTTTGATCCGTATTGTTCTCTACTTCACGACAGTAATTCAATGTTTTTATCATATTTTTCTTTTAAATGTTAACCTTAGGTCTTTATTAAAGTTTAATAACTTGCTCAAGAGCTAAAATACAAATATTATTGATAACTATACTGTTTTCAACTTTTATTGACAAGTTAAGCGAGATCACTAATCAGCTTTTCTATCAAATCTTTTAGGTTTATGATATATAGTTGAAATGAAATTGAAATACTTATTTCTCATTTTATGAACTTGGCCTAAATAAATCGAATCATTACGGGAGTAATTAAAATTTTGAAATATGAAAACATTGTTTTCATAATACCTTACTTCACCTTGATAGACAAATTATCAATATTTTAAATCCCTTCAATTGTATTTCTTATTGCCCAATGTCAATCATCAAAAGTCTACAAATAAATGTAACATACCGAGAAATTAAAGGTTTAATCGTAAACTTTATCTTAAAGTCAAAGTTTCGACATGGACTATTCTCCATGAAGTACCGTATATATAGATTCTACCACTGCATCAAGTGTGATACGATATTTATCTACTCGAGACAGTTATATTTTCAAATTTAAGCGTTTTAAATGTTAAAAATTTAACTGCCGAGACTGGATAAATATCGTATTACACGAGATTTGGTGGTGGAATCTGTTTCTCTAATGATTTTTAGACGATTAACAGACAATCTTTGGTTTAAACAATATTTTTTTCGATAAGTCAAATCATGCTATATAATATAATACAGTATAAACAATGGGATTCAGAAACAAGCAACATTGCTTATTTTAATCTGTCTCCAAAAGAATGTTGACATACAATATAATGAATACTTGGAGCATGCTCTGTCAATTGAAATATATTAAGAATAGTAAATAGACAATCTTTATATAATGGTCCTTCTTTTCGAACGATCTGCAAAAAGATGTGTTCGTTCTTTATGACGTCATCAGGCATGGTCACCTTTTTTTATGATGTCACAATAGGAAATTCAGAGGAGAGCAAGAAAATTTGACGTCATAATGGAATTTTGACCAATGAAGAACTGAGATCAAACGAACTACACGTTGATTAAAAAAAAATAATCAACTGGTCAGGAGAAGGATAAATCGTGTAAGAATTAGAGAAATTTTAATAATCGGTTGATAAAGTTTAAAATTCTTAAAGCTGCAATTGACCTCAGGTAGTTTTGGCTATAAAACCTAAGTGT